CACAGTTGCAACTGATGTTTAAAATGAGCTTTTCGAGCTGTAATGCCATAAGAGTTGTTCACTGGTACAATGCGCCCCATTATTCTTGCTTTCATCCTCATCTTATCGGATCTAGGTTATTATTTACTTAACCTGCAGCTGATGGTAAACCAAGATTAGAATGTTGTTCAGCTGTCCCAAAGTTGGCGGGAGCTGTTCCCACTTGATTCCTGCTGTTGAAGATTGCGACTTCTGGTTCAAGAACTGAAAGTCTAGCTTCATCTAGTCAATCTCGATTGTTGATGAAATCAACTGCAGCATCAAAAGTTCCCGACATGCTTTAATGGTTGCTGGTGTAGAATTTGCCGAATAAAAAAGCATCTATTTACACTTTCATCGTATAGATTCGATCGTATCTAATAGCCGATGCCTTACCAATTTCCGTGGATCCCACATAGTGGTGTCAGATTCCATGGAAAAGCGTGCACAGCAGTACGTGTTTACGTGCCTCCAAGTTAGGGAGTCTAAATCGGTAGTTCCATAAATAAACTTGTAGAGCCCATATTTGTCAAAAACTAGAGCTGAATTCTACTCAGGAATCAACAAACATTATTTAACAGTCAAAAACTCCTTACTGTGTATAATCTTTACAAACTTTCGTACTATAACTGAACTTTTAAAATAGTTGAAATATAGGGTACCCATATCTCACTACTTCGTTACTTAACAGGACTGAACAGAGGGATTACCGTCTAATACCACCGAAAGCGAAGCCATAACTTTTATTTAAAAAATCTTCTCGGCTTTGGAAACAACTCAAGGAGCTTACCATCCCAGAATAAACCTGCCTTTGTGGAAAACACACCTGTAACTCAATCCAAATCAAGGCTAAACCGATCTCTTCTATAGCCCAAAAAAAAGCAGGTTCGATAATGAGATCATAATGACAACTTTAACAGTATATTGACCATGCTATATTATGATTAAAAACGTGAATATAAGTAAACAAATTAGCTTAATTACTTTAAATATTGCGTTTCATCCGTACGGCGCTTATACGTATATATGTTTAAAAGCGCGCCGCAGCTACACCTATCTCAAACATTTGCTCGGGTTTCCTTAAGCCGCGCACGTACGTTATTCTTGGCCGTTAATCAGACCATTACCATAACGCTATAAGGATGGCAGTTGACACTAATATGCTTCAACAAATACTGACTTTAGGAGTCCCATCCATAAAGTGATTTACAAAATGACACCTATAACCTACGTGTTCGGTGTCCTAAAACGTTACTTTGGCGCTGAACTGTGGTGTCTGACGTTTGCAGCCAATCGACTCTGCCTGATAAATGTATAAGCAATTTGTATAGTGTATCATTGTTTAGTGTTTAAATACTCTGCAAACCAGTTATCACGGCTAACCACAAAAACAAAATTATTTGCCTGCTTTGGCAAAACCAAGTAAATAGACAACGCACATCCGATAAAAGCCGACAGAAAAACTCCGGCAAAATTTCATTGTAGTCAAGTCAACGGGCACAAGAAGCACTACTAGCAATTGTGTCCTTAACCTCCTACATAATTTAGAACATTTTAGTGGCAACTCATTGAACAACATCTGAATTAGATTAACAAAAGTTTAATAAACACAAAATTTAAATTATTACCAATAATTCAATCAATACCATCATAAATTCTAATAATGGAACACAATGCAAAATGGATGTTCTTAAACTATAATTTTGTTGTGACTAATAATCTATTGACTTCAAATTGAATTTAGTTAAGTAATAAACGCCCCACCAACATCATTACCAAAATTAGTGTACTGCTACTAGAGTATTGCTGTACCAAATTAGTGTACTGCTACTAGAGTATTGCTGTACCAAATTAGTGTACTGCTACTAGAGTATTGCTGTACCAAATTAGTGTACTGCTACTAGAGTATTGCTGTACCAAATTAGTGTACTGCTACTAGAGTATTGCTGTACCAAATTAGTGTACTGCTACTAGAGTATTGCTGTACCAAATTAGTGTACTGCTACTAGAGTATTGCTGTACCAAATTAGTGTACTGCTACTAGAGTATTGCTGTACCAAATTAGTGTACTGCTACTAGAGTATTGCAGTACCAAATTAGTGTACTGCTACTAGAGTATTGCTGTACCAAATTAGTGTACTGCTACTAGAGTATTGCTGTACCAAATTAGTGTACTGCTACTAGAGTATTGCTGTACCAAATTAGTGTACTGCTACTAGAGTATTGCTGTACCAAATTAGTGTACTGCTACTAGAGTATTGCTGTACCAAATTAGTGTACTGCTACTAGAGTATTGCTGTACCAAATTAGTGTACTGCTACTAGAGTATTGCTGTACCAAATTAGTGTACTGCTACTAGAGTATTGCTGTACCAAATTAGTGTACTGCTACTAGAGTATTGCTGTACCAAATTAGTGTACTGCTACTAGAGTATTGCAGTACCAAATTAGTGTACTGCTACTAGAGTATTGCTGTACCAAATTAGTGTACTGCTACTAGAGTATTGCTGTACCAAATTAGTGTACTGCTACTAGAGTATTGCTGTACCAAATTAGTGTACTGCTACTAGAGTATTGCTGTACCAAATTAGTGTACTGCTACTAGAGTATTGCTGTACCAAATTAGTGTACTGCTACTAGAGTATTGCATACCAAATTAGTGTACTGCTACTAGAGTATTGCTGTACCAAATTAGTGTACTGCTACTAGAGTATTGCATACCAAATTAGTGTACTGCTACTAGAGTATTGCTGTACCAAATTAGTGTACTGCTACTAGAGTATTGCTGTACCAAATTAGTGTACTGCTACTAGAGTATTGCTGTACCAAATTAGTGTACTGCTACTAGAGTATTGCTGTACCAAATTAGTGTACTGCTACTAGAGTATTGCTGTACCAAATTAGTGTACTGCTACTAGAGTATTGCTGTACCAAATTAGTGTACTGCTACTAGAGTATTGCTGTACCAAATTAGTGTACTGCTACTAGAGTATTGCTGTACCAAATTAGTGTACTGCTACTAGAGTATTGCTGTACCAAATTAGTGTACTGCTACTAGAGTATTGCTGTACCAAATTAGTGTACTGCTACTAGAGTATTGCTGTACCAAATTAGTGTACTGCTACTAGAGTATTGCTGTACCAAATTAGTGTACTGCTACTAGAGTATTGCTGTACCAAATTAGTGTACTGCTACTAGAGTATTGCTGTACCAAATTAGTGTACTGCTACTAGAGTATTGCTGTACCAAATTAGTGTACTGCTACTAGAGTATTGCTGTACCAAATTAGTGTACTGCTACTAGAGTATTGCTGTACCAAATTAGTGTACTGCTACTAGAGTATTGCTGTACCAAATTAGTGTACTGCTACTAGAGTATTGCTGTACCAAATTAGTGTACTGCTACTAGAGTATTGCTGTACCAAATTAGTGTACTGCTACTAGAGTATTGCTGTACCAAATTAGTGTACTGCTACTAGAGTATTGCATACCAAATTAGTGTACTGCTACTAGAGTATTGCATACCAAATTAGTGTACTGCTACTAGAGTATTGCATACCAAATTAGTGTACTGCTACTAGAGTATTGCTGTACCAAATTAGTGTACTGCTACTAGAGTATTGCTGTACCAAATTAGTGTACTGCTACTAGAGTATTGCTGTACCAAATTAGTGTACTGCTACTAGAGTATTGCTGTACCAAATTAGTGTACTGCTACTAGAGTATTGCATACCAAATTAGTGTACTGCTACTAGAGTATTGCTGTACCAAATTAGTGTACTGCTACTAGAGTATTGCTGTACCAAATTAGTGTACTGCTACTAGAGTATTGCTGTACCAAATTAGTGTACTGCTACTAGAGTATTGCTGTACCAAATTAGTGTACTGCTACTAGAGTATTGCTGTACCAAATTAGTGTACTGCTACTAGAGTACTGCTGTACCAAATTAGTGTACTGCTACTAGAGTATTGCATACCAAATTAGTGTACTGCTACTAGAGTATTGCTGTACCAAATTAGTGTACTGCTACTAGAGTATTGACAGTGGAACAATGTGTCACTTAATGCGTGTCAGTTAATGTTAGACAAATTGTTGCAAAATTAAAAGACAAATCAAAATAGACTGAATGGAGAAGGATTTGTGAAGTATCGAGGAGAGCTGAAGCTAGACGGTACGTGACCAGTGGCGTAACCAGGCAACGTAACGCCACGGTAAGTGACCAGTGGCGTAACCAGGCAACGTAACGCCACGGTAAGTGACCAGTGGCGTAACCAGGCAACGTAACGCCACGGTAAGTGACCAGTGGCGTAACCAGGCAACGTAACGCCACGGTACGTGACCAGTGGCGTAACCAGGCAACGTAACACCACGGTACGTGACCAGTGGCGTAACCAGGCAACGTAACGCCACTGCATGTCACGCATCACGTGCTGCTAACAGTTTGTCAATAAGAGTTGCACTAGTTACCATGGTTATTAGTGTAACCCTATGGCCGGGACTTCACTGTCGCAGTTGAAATGCAAAAGTATAAACCAGCCTTACATTTTCGTAGTTAAAACGGTGCGAAAGTAAATCTATTATGAGGGAGGGAGCGAGAGTGTGGGAGTACACACAAACTTTAGTATCTAATCACATTTGGGTCACAAAATGATCAATTAAACCACTTACCACCGACCAATTTAGGAAACCTTTATCCTTTTATCATTTGGTTTTCCAGCCCCCGTAACTTACCGTTTTCTTGATTGAGCCGTTCAGAAATTACAGACAGACAGACAGACAGACAGACAGACAGACAGACAGACAGACAGACAGACAGTCAGACAGACAGACAGACAGACAGACAGACAGACAGACAGACAGACAGACAGACAGACAGACAGACAGACAGACAGACAGACAGACAGACACATCTTGAGATTATTATTATTGATAGATAATACTAGAAAGTATTATGTAAGTATTATGTAAGTATTATGTAAGTATTTACCTGCCAGGATCATCGAAGTATAAATGTAGTTGCTGAGCAACAGAGTCTTGGAACTGAAGAATAGCTCTCCACTCCTTCAAACAAAAGGTAATCTCTCTGTCTACTGATACATCGTAGCAGGAGAACTCAGTGCTAGCTAACCGCATTTCAGTCTGCAGCACCTGGAACAGTACCAAGTTGGAACAGTGCCAAGTTGGAACAGTGCCAAGTTGGAACAGTGCCAAGTTGGAACAGTGCCAAGTTGGAACAGTGCCAAGTTGGAACAGTGCCAAGTTGGAACAGTGCCAAGTTGGAACAGTGCCAAGTTGGAACAGTGCCAAGTTGGAACAGTGCCAGGTTGGAACAGTACCAAGTTGGAACAGTGCCAAGTTGGAACAGTGCCAGGTTGGAACAGTGCCAAGTTGGAACAGTGCCAAGTTGGAACAGTGCCAGGTTGGAACAGTACCAAGTTGGAACCAGGGGTGTAGGAAGAGTGGGGGCAGGGGGGGCGACCGCCCCCCCCCCCCATAAAATCTGGAAAAGGGGCGAAAAGGGGCCAACTTTTTCAAGTAAATTAGCAGGATACAATCCAGCTGTGAGCTGGCATGAACATGAAATCTGATAATTTATATTACATATTCCGATATTACATGTCAGGATTCATCAGAAGTTCAGGAACCTAGCGATTATAAAATTCAGATAACATTGCTGGTTACTCTTCTATGCCGTGTTCAGTATTTTCAATACCAGAATCTTTCAATGAACCAGAAATCTGTTAATTTATATTACATATTCTGATATTAAACGGGTAGCTGATTTTGATAAAATAACATCGTGATCCGGCGTGATCAATTATTTTAATTGAAGTACAACGGCTGCACCCCTGACTTTTTAACTTAACAAGAGACGTATAATGTATATATTAGGACATTTGTAATTTGATAAAATTTAAAGTTTTGGTGTGTGAATTAAAGGTCTTTAAAACAAAACATATTACATGTCAGGATTCATCAGAAGTTCAGAAGCCTAGCGAGTATAAAATTCAGATAACATTACTGATTACTTTTTTATGCCGTGGGAGTAAATTAGTAAGACACAGTTTGCCCCTTGTAGTCCAAATTTACATTACCTCATTGCTAGAATTCGTTCCTTAAAACAAATTTTCCAAGAATTGTTCCAGTTTCTCCTTCCTTGCATGTTGTACCCTCTTTGAGAGTGAGACCTATAACTGTAAGAATATTTTTCAAAATTTGCAGGACATTTCCTTTGACCCTTAATTAAATGGGCACAACAAAATCTTTCTGGATTTATCATTTCACATTGCTAGATTTCAATTCTGGAAGCAAATTTCCTGAAATTCTTTTCCAGAGAATGCAATATGCACCCCTTTTTCGAACTACACTTATTTCGCAAGAGCTGCTTGCAGGCCCTAATAATTAATATGCATTTAAAATCGTATTATTTTAATCATTCTTGAAACTGTGTTTGAAAATGATCTCTATTGCCAAATTGCTCAGCTAGGCCTTTTACACGTTTTCAGGCTGTGGCCAAAGCGCGTGCTAAATTTGAAAAACTCTAAGATTTTGGCCCCCTCATGAAGAAAATCATTCCTACACCCCTGGTTGGAACAGTGCCAAGTTGGAACAGTGCCAAGTTGGAACAGTGCCAGGTTGGAACAGTGCCAGGTTGGAACAGTGCCAAGTTGGAACAGTGCCAAGTTGGAACAGTGCCAAGTTGGAACAGTGCCAAGTTGGAACAGTGCCAGGTTGGAACAGTGCCAGGTTGGAACAGTACCAAGTTGGAACAGTGCCAAGTTGGAACAGTGCCAGGTTGGAACAGTGCCAAGTTGGAACAGTGCCAAGTTGGAACAGTGCCAGGTTGGAACAGTACCAAGTTGGAACAGTGCCAAGTTGGAACAGTGCCAAGTTAAAACACTGTATAATAATGGACTGATCTGTAGTCTGGGAGACAATTTCGCAATCAACACGTGATTTCAAAGAATTTATGATCTACAATTATAAGTCTCCAGACACAGTACAATTAATAAGAATCGGGACGTTCTTTTAATTCCGACAAATATCCCGATAGTGATTCCGGCAACAATTCTAGAATATTCCAGAATATTCTATACTATTCTTTGATGTTATGTAATGTTCTGTAATGTTCTGCAATGTTCTGTAATGTTCTGTAATGTTCTGTAATGTTCTGTAATGTTCTGTAATGTCCTGTAATGCTCTGTAATGTCCTGTAATGTCCTGTAATGTCCTGTAATGTCCTGTAATGCTCTGTAATGCTCCGTAATGCTCTGTAATGTCCTGTAATGTTCTGTAATGTTCTGTAATGTTCTGTAATGTTCTGTAATGTTCTGTAATGTTCTGTAATGTTCTGTAATGTTCTGTAATGTTCTGTAACGCTCTGTAATGTTCTGTAATGCTCTGTAATGCTCTGTAATGCTCTGTAATGATCTGTAATGTTCTGTAACGCTCTGTAATGTTCTGTAATGCTCTGTAATGCTCTGTAATGCTCTGTAACGCTCTGTAATGTTCTGTAATGCTCTGTAATGCTCTGTAATGATCTGTAATGCTCTGTAATACTCTGTAATGCTCTGTAATGTTCTGTAATGTTCTGTAATGTTCTGTAATGCTCTGTAATGTTCTGTAATGTTCTGTAATGCTCTGTAATGTTCTGTAATGCTCTGTAATGCTCTGTAATGTTCTGTAATGTTCTGTAATGCTCTGTAATACTCCGTAATGCGCTGTAATGCTCTGTAATGTTCTGTTATGCTCTGTAATGCTCTGTAATGCTCTGTAATACTCCGTAATGTTCTGTAATGTTCTGTAATGCTCTGTAACGCTCTGTAATGTTCTGTAATGCTCTGTGACTGTAATGTTCTGTAATGTTCTGTAATGCTCTGTTATGCTCTGTAATGTTCTGTAATGTTCTGTTATGCTCTGTAATGCTCTGTAATGCTCTGTAATACTCCGTAATGCTCTGTTATGCTCTGTAATGTTCTGTAATGTTCTGTAATGCTCTGTAACGCTCTGTAATGCTCTGTAATGTTCTGTAATGTTCTGTAATGTTCTGTAATGCTCTGTTATGCTCTGTAATGTTCTGTAATGCTCTGTTATGCTCTGTAATGTTCTGTAATGTTCTGTAATGTTCTGTAATATTCTGTAATGTTCTGTAATGCTCTGTAATGCTCTGTAATGCTCTGTAACGCTCTGTAATGCTCTGTAATGTTCTGTAATGTTCTGTAATGTTCTGTAATGTTCTGTAATATTCTGTAATGTTCTGTAATGTTCTGTAATGTTCTGTTATGCTCTGTAATGCTCTGTTATGTTCTGTAATGCTCTGTAATGCTCTGTAATGCTCTGTAACGCTCTGTAATGTTCTGTAATGTTCTGTAATGTTCTGTAATGCTCTGTAATGCTCTGTAACGCTCTGTAATGTTCTGTAATGTTCTGTAATGCTCTGTAATGTTCTGTAACGCTCTGTAATGCTCTGTTATGTTCTGTAACAGTACCTTGCCGTACTGACTCTCCTCCTCTACATAGTTACTGAGCATCGTGTGGTCATGTTTAGCGTTTAGGGTTATCTCCGCCACATTAGTAGGGAAATGTACGACGCAGTCTCCTAGAAACCTGGGACAAACGGGATTAGAACGGTATTATGTGTACAGTATTGGTACTAGCATAATGGTATTATGTGTACAGTATTGGTACTAGCATAATGGTATTGTATGCTAGTACAGTATTGGTACTAGCATAATGGTATTGTATATGCTAGCACAGTATTGGTACTAGCATAATGGTATTATATGCTAGTACAGTATTGGTACTAGCATAATGGTATTGTATGCTAGTACAGTATTGGTACTAGCATAATGGTATTATATGCTAGTACAGTATTGGTACTAGCATAATGGTATTATATGCTAGTACAGTATTAGTACTAGCATAATAGTATTGTATGCTAGTACAGTATTGGTACTAGCATAATGGTATTATATGCTAGTACAGTATTGGTACTAGCATAATGGTATTGTATATGCTAGTACAGTATTGGTCTTTATATAAATTACAAGTTAACTCAAGTCACATAAACACTGAACCTTAGTCACAACAAACTGAACTAAAGAAATGACGTTGCTGTCAGAATAAAAACAAGAGTTTTTACAAAAACATAGACGGAAAGTTTCAATGTGAACACTTACTTTTGGTCTGAGACGATGTGAATGACAGAAGAGTTTTTATTGAAGATAGCACTGAGTCCCTCGCATTCCTGGAACGTTAAGTTGAACTGCTTCTTTATTCCTGAAATCAGAAGAGTTGTAACATTACAGTGAACAGTCATAGTACTGTTGCTAGGTTACTGTTGATAGGTTACTGTTGCTGGGTACTGTTGCTAGGTTACTGTTGCTAGGTTACTGTTGCTAGGTTACTGTTGCTAGGTACTGTTGCTAGGTTACTGTTGCTAGGTTACTGTTGCTAGGTTACTGTTGCTAGGTACTGTTGCTAGGTTACTGTTGCTAGGTTACTATTGCTGGGTTACTGTTGCTAGGTTACTGTTGCTAGGTTACTGTTGCTAGGTTACTGTTGCTAGGTTACTGTTGCTAGGTTACTGTTGCTGGGTTACTGTTGCTAGGTTACTATTGCTGGGTTACTGTTGCTAGGTTACTGTTGCTAGGTTACTGTTGCTAGGTTACTGTTGCTAGGTTACTGTTGCTGGGTTACTGTTGCTAGGTACTGTTGCTGGGTTGCTGTTGCTAGGTTACTGTTGCTAGGTTACTGTTGCTAGGTTACTGTTGCTAGGTTACTGTTGCTAGGTTACTGTTGCTGGGTTACTGTTGCTAGGTACTGTTGCTAGGTTACTGTTGCTAGGTTACTGTTGCTAGGTTACTGTTGCTAGGTTACTGTTGCTAGGTTACTGTTGCTAGGTTACTATTGCTGGGTTACTGTTGCTAGGTTACTGTTGCTAGGTTACTGTTGCTGGGTTATTGTTGCTAGGTACTGTTGCTGGGTTGCTGTTGCTAGGTTACTGTTGCTAGGTTACTGTTGCTGGGTTACTGTTGCTAGGTACTGTTGCTAGGTTATTGTTGCTAGGTTACTGTTGCTAGGTTACTGTTGCTGGGTTACTGTTGCTAGGTTGCAGTTGCTAGGTTACAGTTGCTAGGTTACTGTTGCTAGGTTACTGTTGCTGGGTTACTGTTGCTAGGTTATTGTTGCTAGGTTACTGTTGCTAGGTTACAGTTGCTGGGTTACTGTTGCTAGGTTACTGTTGCTAGGTTACTGTTGCTGGGTTACTGTTGCTGGGTTACTGTTGCTAGGTTACTGTTGCTAGGTACTGTTGCTAGGTTACTGTTGCTAGGTTACTGTTGCTAGGTTACAGTTGCTAGGTTACTGTTGCTAGGTTACTGTTGCTAGGTTACTGTTGCTGGGTTACTGTTGCTAGGTACAGTTGCTGGATTACTGTTGCTACGTTACTATTGCTAGGTTACTGTTGCTAGGTTACTGTTGCTAGGTTACAGTTGCTAGGTTACTGTTGCTAGGTACTGTTGCTGGGTTACTGTTGCTAGGTTACAGTTGCTAGGTTACTGTTGCTAGGTTACTGTTGCTAGGTTACTGTCGCTGGGTTACTGTTGTTAGGTTACTGTTGCTAGGTTACTGTTGCTAGGTTACTGTTGCTGGGTTACTGTTGCTAGGTACAGTTGCTGGGTTACTGTTGCTAGGTTACTGTTGCTAGGTTACTGTTGCTAGGTTACTGTTGCTAGGTAGAGGGCGAGCCCACTGCCCACCGATGGTAATACTAGTGCTTATCTCCCGACCAGCAAACTTAGCTACGATTAGATTTCAAACGAAAGATGAGCGACTTGCATATTTTCGCCGCAAAATTACTGATCACATTATAGAAAGTGAAACAGCGAAACAGAATATTTTAATACCTAAAAAGGAAAGAGGTTATAGTTTAGAAGAAGCTGTATGGTGCGTGTATTTATATAATATATAATATAATGTATATAATCTTACTATATATAAAGCGAGACGATATATATATATTTATCCGTGCCATTTTACTGACACCACGGCATCAACTTTAAAGCGAATTTCCGCAAAAACCGTAAAAGATATACAACTGAAACTTTTTTGACTGGGTCAAATGCTTTAATGGCCTCCAATTCAGCATGAAAAAATAAAAAATTGGCCAAGAATTAGTGATTTTAGAGCCCAAAATTTGGACCCCCAAGTGGTGTCTAAAACGCGAATTAAACAGGTAATAATTATTTTGGTCTGTTGAGTCTTGACACCGTTTAGAGTTATATTATACGGGTTCCTGCTAGTGTATATAATGTATATATTGTATGTAATGTATATAATGTATAAAATGTGTATAATGTGTATAATGTATATAATGAATATAATGAATATAATGAATATAATGAATATAATGAATATAATGAATATAATGAATATAATGAATATAATGAATATAATGAATATAATGAATATAATGAATATAATGAATATAATGAATATAATGAATATAATGAATATAATGAATATAATGAATATAATGAATATAATGAATATAATGAATATAATGAATATAATGAATATAATGAATATAATGAATAATGAATATAATGAATATAATGAATATAATGAATATAATGAATATAATGTATAAAATGTATAAAATGTATATAATGTATTTAGATAATGTATAACACCAGAATAATAATAACCGTGTCTGTGATTGAGACTGAAGACAAGTTCTCCTTCCACGAACTTTAATTCTATGGTAAAAGTGTCCACCGATTTCTCCAGAGAAGCCAAGTTCTTGAAAATGGACAGGCACGACTGAAATGAAAAACATTTATAAGATCACAGAAAGGTTAAAAGTAGTCAGCAATGTTTTAAAACCTATGAATGTGTAATATATAAGTTCTTATTACCCACTAATCAATTAATTAATTACCCACTAATTAATTAAGTGATCGTTCATATACTATGCTTGGTGTAGCTCGTTGGGATAGTATAGGAATTCCAGTTCCTATAGTTGGGAATGAGGTAGTTGTCTGTTTACAGATCGCCCTCTAAACTTACAAGGAAATATTTCCTGTAGATCCTTGGTATATAAGCAACATTTGACAAAGCATAGTGCGGAGTGAGCTAAGTGCCCATCCTTGGAGAACCCGGTGGATGTCCTTGCTGTACGGCAGTGTTAAACAAGGAACTGAAACCGAGGGGTTCCGTTCAGACCCTTCTCACTTTGTTTCTGTCTAGTTCTAATGTAGGTACCGTCACAATAGTGACTTTAATATACAGGCCCTTCACACTTTGTTTCTGTCTAGTTCTAATGTAGGTACCGTCACAATAGTGACTTTAATATACAGGCCCTTCTCACTTTGTTTCTGTCTAGTTATAATGTAGGTACCGTCACAATAGTGACTTTAATATACAGGCCCTTCTCACTTTGTTTCTGTCTAGTTCTAATGTAGGTACCGTCACAATAGTGACTTTAATATACAGGCCCTTCTCACTTTGTTTCTGTCTAGTTCTAATGTAGGTACCGTCACAATAGTGACTTAAATATACAGGCCCTTCTCACTTTGTTTCTGTCTAGTTCTAATGTAGGTACCGTCACAATAGTGACTACGTTAAAGGGTTTACTGTTATTTTTAATGTTTTAAAACCTCTAAACTTATAATTTAAGTATGCTCCTAAATCATGAAAATTGGTTTTATCTACGGTTTAAATGACCAAACAATTATGCAAGCAACATGTAATTAGCAGTAAGAAAGTCCTTACCCTTGCTGAGACTTTGCAGCGAAGTTCACCCGAATTTTGGCTTTGGAGGGAGAATTTTGAGAAAAAGGAAGTTTGAAAAAGAAAGGATCCATAGGCAGAGCGGGATAGATTAACTGTACGTACAGCGAGCTGAAAATGTAGGAAATATAATCAACTATCAATACTGAATTATATGAAACAGTTAATCAGTGGTTTAGAGGAGTTGGGAAGTTCCCGATTTGTGAAATTCTGAAACAGAGAGCACTTACCCCACTAGCTTCACCCTCAAAGTATATCTCCTCTCCAACCTTCGCGAGACATAGTATAGCTTTACCAAATACTGGGGGAGGGAGCTGTCAATTTATCGTTTCAGCTGAATTTTCATCGTGCGTGCGAAGATTCTAAATTCTACAAAATGCTCAGAAGTGACGTACGTGAAAGCAAGATTCATCATGCGAATGTTTTCGCGCCGTACGCAAACATTAATTTTCCTGCAAGGACCGCAAGTGGCAACAATTCGACGAGATTTGAAATTTTGGAAAAAAAAATATTGCATTGACCGGTGACCCTCACATTTCTTTTCTGCTTGATGCACGAAACATTATCGATGTTGTCAGCAAAAATCTACGAAACAGATGAATTATTACCTTTGATATGTCGTCCAGGAGCTGTGCAATTCATTCGGTTTCCATGGTGCTGCTAAACCGTCTACCTTTAAAAATCCATCTTGATTAAGAGGTTTCCTCAATTTCTTGGGTACACTTTACACAAAGATTACCATAGTAACACTACTAGTTACTATAGTTACACAAAGATTATCCTAAATTAGTTGTAAATTTCTTTGGTATGAGACAAGAGTGAGACTCGTTAGGTGCTACACTACATAATATAGGAAAACAAGGTTTAAACTTTGGTATTTATTAATAACAATCAAAACATATACCAAAACTGAAATCGATTAATGAAAACAATATATAAACAAAATCATTTGAATCACTGAGGGTGGAATGTTAACTTGAATGACTATAATGATATCACGACTATAATTAAGAGATAAAACAAAACATCACATTTTACCAAATCTTTAAAAGCCAGTTATGTCACTGAAGCCCAAATGCAAATGACGTTTGAAACAGAAGTTGCCAAAATTTAAAAACGCATAAAATACTAAATAAAACAGAGCACTTGAAACTTCACTTAGTTCTGCCAGCGCGCTAGATAAAACAGAGCACAAACTTCACTTAGTTCTGCCAGCACGCTAAATAAAACAGAGCACAAACTTCACTTAGTTCTGCCAGCGCGCTAGATAAAACAGAGCACAAACTTCACTTAGTTCTGCCAGCGCGCTCCTTCGCACCATCTGTCAGACAATATGCGGGTTTGTAGGTTGTACCATCCTCGCAAAGCAAGGCCGGGTTCCTCTGAGTGTTGTGGATATTACCTAAGGAAGTGTACCCCTCATTGTATAAAGTACAGTAAGGTACATTCATCTCCCTAATAAAGCACCACACATGTTTATAGGACCAGGATAAGATGGGGCTAACCCTCATCAGACTGGGCCAGCCCGGATCACAGGGAGTGAAGGAGCGAAGAGAGGCTGAGTAGGGGTCTGTGGATCTGGTACCCATTAGTACAGCCGACAAGTGAGGCATGTCAGCCTTCAGTTCGAACAGCGCGTCTTTTATTTTACCATTCTTCTTTACTATCGTTAGTCTGTACAAATCTGCAGATTGGGCTATAAAGTTATTGAGTTCAGGAAAAACCTCCTCAGTTTCGATATTAACGGTTATAACATTAGTGTTGTGTAAGTTGAGTCTCTGGAGTGTCATATGTAACAGGTGGAGAAGGACGGTGCAATCTTTTCCTCCGTTGAACGCCAGAGCGATGTTTTCCAGTCCATATTTATTGATAGCTTCGGTGATGAAACCTAAACTCTCCTCAATTAGAACCTTGATATCTTCACTGCATTGCAATGTTTCTGTGTTGAGAACAGGATTCAATAACATTGACTAAGGGAATTTTAGTGTTAAAATAAAGTTTGAATAAGAAACGTTATAAAAAATGTATACAGTAACACGGATTACCATAAGAAACTGTCCCAAATTTAGAAATAATCGATTTCTGGGATATAATTACCACGGAGTGTAATAAGAGTATGTCCAGAATTAACAATTCGAGTATAAAACTCTTTCAGCAATTACCAAATTGTATAAAGAGTTTGGCCGGAAAACATAATTGACAAATAATAAAATACCCATATTATTTCAATAAATTAAAGAAGTTTATATTTTAGTTTATATAATGATACTCAAAAGTAAAAACTAAAAACTGAAACGTAATCAATGAGAACAGAACGGGTCACGACACCAAATAGCAAAGCCAAAACTTCATCTTATCTGCCTTCAAGCACACTTAAAAACACTAACTCCTGCGTTAACTTTCACGTATAGATTCAGAAATGAGAGAGTTATTATGAAAATATTCATCCCTTGCTACCAGCCTCACTTTCTTGCTTCATAGTACACATTCTCTAAATACCTAGGTGTTACTAGGGTGTTACTAAGGTGATACTAGGTGTTACTAGGGTGTTACTAACTCACTTTCTTGCTTCATAGTACACATAGCATACAACAAGAACTCGTGTTGACACTTATCTTTATCTCCTTTATCTATCACGCATTCTCTAAACTGCATCTTAAACTTAGAACAGTCCCCGGACTCTAGTACATTCACCAAGCTCTGTGTCTCATCACAAGTTAACCTCTGCTTCTCGTTTTTCAAAGAGTCCGCCAGTCCGGCTATTCGCTGTAACCTCATCTCTTCTGCTTGTTTTGCTTCTTCTACTTCGGACATGATTAACTAGGAGATATCACTGATCAAGGAACTTTGATAATCAGAAATGTTATATAAAAGTTATGGGACAAAATCTGCTCATCTTTTCAAATAAGGACATCAATATTCAAAAGTTCAGAAATGTTTTTCCTGGAACTTTTTCATACTTTTGAATAAAAAACAGTGATAAACAATCAAAGTGATCAAAAAAGTATTTCAGACCAATTAATTCAAAACCTATTAACAAAATTACAAGGGTCACTGCACGAGGCTGGCAAAGCAAACATTCCCAGGATATCTGAGGAAACACCACCCTGATGTCTACTGTCTTTATTGTGCAGTAACCTTCCTCAAGATACAACTTCTTCTTTTTTATCAGGCTGATCTGATTTAGTAATGTTATCATTGAACCCGGGCTGATCTGATTTAGTAATGTTATCATTGAACCCGGGCTGATCTGATTTAGTAATGTTATCATTGAACCCCAAATCATCTAAATCTTCACTAACCATCAGATCATTGTCCATTCTACACTGCAAATACTCTCTGCTCTCTACCCTGCACTTCCTCTGATTGTACTCATGTTCCTTTAAACAGGACATGAAGGTCTGCATAAGGGCCTTGCACTCTCCAAAGTGATCGAGAGGGAAGCTGCCCTTGTCGGGGGGTGAGCCTCGCGGAGTTTGCCGGGCCCAGTTCATCCTCTGTTAATCCTCCTACCTTGGAAACGCAACTGTGGTAAGTTTAAATGAAATTTTAAATGAAATACGGTTGCAGTTTTTGATGATGGTTATTAAGAAAATTGGCATATTGAAGGGATACACAATTAGAGTATAACGCCAATTTGACGTAGTAATAGTATATTCGTTTAAGTTAATTGTAAAACTTCCTACCTGTGTCTTCATTTCATTTTATATTTTGGCCCCCCCCGGCCCCCCCCCCCCGGCCCCCACCCACACCATTACAAGGTATAGTTTGCCCCCCCCCCGGCCCCCCCCCCCCGGCCCCTCTACTTTCTACAGAAACACAAAACACAAAACAAGTGTTAACAAGTTAAAAACAGATATATAAACTTTATACTGGCACGAGATGAAATACCCGAGGGGTAGGAAAGGAAACAAGAGATAAATTATGCGAGGTAATGTGAGAATTCGGTTCAGTTATGACTCATTTAAATGTTCTGACGTCATAGTTAATAGAATCAGTGCCACGAAAATAACCCAGAAAAATATGCGGTTTTAAAGACCGCAACAATTTCCGCTACTTCGTAATCCTGATTATTGCCCGGCAGATTCCTAGTTCGCATACAATCATTATCGTAGTTGACTGAGCTGTAATATGTTCATGTTGTCGAACTTACCCCGAGCTACTAGAACTTTTTTGTTTTGCTTAATTAAATTATTCGGGGGGGACAATTGGTATTTTTTTGCAAAACTTGATTTCGAGATAGCAGTTTGACCAACAAACTAGGATATATTTTGCCATGCAAAATTCAGAATTTGGCAGCCAAATTTTTTTGAGGTCTAAATCAAAAATTCGTTCCTAAAATAAGGTGGAAATGCGATTAAGAGTCGATTCCGAAAATTTCATGCAAAAATTTTAAAAACTGATTGAGTTGTTACAATTTTAATGAGATCAATTCCGCGAATATCGAAAACCAAGATACAGGCACTTTTGTTTATTTTTTGCGGTCTTTTCGCCTTAGTATCCACATTTAAACAGATATAAAGCTATAACTTACAGAGAATATGTAGTTTAGGCTTACCTTTCATATAAAAAATATTGATATTTGACCAATTTATGGGCCGAAATCTATCAAATTTGTTGCGTATGCCCAAATATGGGCATATGGTTTTTGGCTCATAACTCAGTAATTTGTTGTCCAATCTTGATGAAATTTCATATACGAGTTCAGGAGACCACTAGCTACAATTAGAGCACCTAAAACCTGGGTTTTTGACATGTTCAGGGTATTTGGCCAAATTAGGTCTGTTTGTTAATACAAAATTATAACAACAATTCGTCACAAGAGAACAGAGAACAGTAAATTAAATTTCAGAGTTGCTTGATAATACAAATATTATATATTGTATATAAATTTTTTGTTGTAAGTTTATTTTGTTTAGCATTTTATTCAATGACAAAAGATAAAAAATTCCTGAAACCCACCGTTGTATTGTAAAGAAGCAAATTATGATTAGCTTTTCTGTGAATAATTTAAAATTCATTTCACAAAAAATGAATATCATACTCAATTAACGACTCGTGCCCGAACAAAAAACAATTTGAAAACTTAAGAATTATACACCGGGAAGCTTGCAATATTGATCATGACTGATAACAACTGAATCCTACAGTTCAAGTTTAGGCCACAAGGTTGAAACAATTATTGTTCAAATGATAATTGGTACCTAGTGGTTCAATTAGTGGTACCTATATTGGTACCTAGTGGTTCCGAAAGAAAGATATTATATTGTCAATAATATCAAACATTCAATTAAAAATAATCTGAAATCATAAGACAGCATTAAGGTTTGTGTCGGCCAACCCAAATGACCTCAAAAATGTGTTTATTCAACTGGAAAGTTGACCTTTTGGACCTCAAAGTCAAACAACGAATTTAGGCATATTTTTCGTTTTTCATATTAAAATGGAAGTGGAAAATAACCGCAACTAGCATATTTATATTATATGAGTTATGAATAAAAAAACACCCGAAAATGCTTCCTTTTAAATTTATGGTAGAAAATGTGATTTTTTCTAACAAAACAATCCATTGTTCATTGACGGACTTTTTGGTCAAAACAATCCTGAAAAGAAAAATTACCAATTTTTGACTTTCAAAATGTATAAAAACACAGCCTTTTCAGATGCGATATCAAGATTTTACACACATCTTGAACAAGATATGAATAAACTTCGTGCAAAATTTCAGCTCAATATCACAACAAATTATTGACTTAAAGCCTCTAAACAAAACAAATTGTGCTTTTTCCGAAAAATGCACTTTAACCAGGAAATGCTCGATTACAGAAATCGGTATTCTCAAAGAACCATTTGTTGGTGTGGAAACGGTGCGCTAGATGAGCACTGAACTTCCTATGAGTTCATTTGGGCTGGAAATTTTTGGTGTATGCCCCCTTAACCACCCTCGCCATAATTCGTCAATCCAAGATCTTGATTTAGTCAAGTCTGAAAATCTACAATTCCAGTGACAAGAGCTGAGGGGTGATCTTGATTTAGTCAAGTCTGAAAATCTACAATTCCAGTGACAAGAGGCGTGATCTTGATTTAGTCAAGTCTGAAAATCCACAATTCCAGTGACAAGAGGGGTGATCTTGATTTAGTCAAGTCTGAAAATCCACAATTCCTGTGACAAGAGGGGTGATCTTGATTTAGTCAAGTCTGAAAATCTACAATTCCAGTGACAAGAGGGGTGATCTTGATTTAGTCAAGTCTGAAAATCTACAATACCAGTGACAAGAGGCGTGATCTTGATTTAGTCAAGTCTGAAAATCCACAATTCCTGTGACAAGAGGGGTGATCTTGATTTAGTCAAGTCTGAAAATCTACAATTCCAGTGACAAGAGGGGTGATCTTGATTTAGTCAAGTCTGAAAATCTACAATACCAGTGACAAGAGGCGTGATCTTGATTTAGTCAAGTCTGAAAATCCACAATTCCTGTGACAAGAGGCGTGATCTTGATTTAGTCAAGTCTGAAAATCCACAATTCCAGTGACAAGAGGCGTGATCTTGATTTAGTCAAGTCTGAAAATCCACAATTCCAGTGACAAGAGGCGTGATCTTGATTTAGTCAAGTCTGAAAATCTACAATTCCAGTGACAAGAGGGGTGATCTTGATTTAGTCAAGTTTGAAAATCTACAATTCCAGTGACAAAAGGCGTGATCTTGATTTAGTCAAGTCTGAAAATCCACAATTCTAGTGACAAGAGGCGTGATCTTGATTTAGTCAAGTCTGAAAATCTACAATTCCAGTGACAAGAGGGGTGATCTTGATTTAGTCAAGTCTGAAAATCTACAATTCCAGTGACAAGAGGGGTGATCTTGATTTAGTCAAGTCTGAAAATCCACAATTCCAGTGACAAGAGGCGTGATCTTGATTTAGTCAAGTCTGAAAATCCACAATTCCAGTGACAAGAGGGGTGATCTTGATTTAGTCAAGTCTGAAAATCTACAATTCCAGTGACAAGAGGCGTGATCTTGATTTAGTCAAGTCTGAAATCCACAATACCAGTGACAAGAGGCGTGATCTTGATTTAGTCAAGTCTGAAAATCTACAATTCCAGTGACAAGAGGGGTGATCTTGATTTAGTCAAGTCTGAAAATCTACAATTCCAGTGACAAGAGGCGTGATCTTGATTTAGTCAAGTCTGAAAATCTACAATTCCAGTTACAAGAGGGGTGATCTTGATTTAGTCAAGTCTGAAAATCCACAATCCCAGTGACAAGAGGGGTGATCTTGATTTAGTCAAGTCTGAAAATCCACAATTCCAGTGACAAGAGGCGTGATCTTCCTCTTTTTGGAGAGTTGCTGAGAGCCCTCTCCATTATAAGAAGAGCAAGACTCTGTGTTTTGGTGGATTGTAAGCTCTACAAAGTCAGTGTACGACTGGTTAGTACAGGGAATATGCATGGAGAGATCGTCCTTGTCTCTGAAGAAGGTAGAGCAGGCTTTACACTCGAACCTGGGCAGACAGGAGTGGAGATCTGTAAAGTGGGTGACCATCATCTCCCGTGTTTCACACTGGCTGCCACACTCCCAGCACTTAAACGAGCTCGCTTCTGATTTCTTGCGGGTCCACGTTTGTTTGGGGTGGGTTTTAAGGTGGGAGAGGAGCTCGTCCTCTGTTTGAAAGTACTTGTTACACCCCTTTCTAGTGCAGATCAGGGTGCTCTCCCAGGAGTGACAGCTACTCATGTGAGATGTGAACGTTTCTAGAACATCCGACACAACTGGACAAAACTTGCAGATTAACAGGGAGCAAGGGTCGTTGCCATGGACACGCTTAAAATGCTGTTTAAGATAGATCGGGTCGAAGAAAGTTTTGATGCAAAACGGACATTTACTGTAGTTAATAGTTTTCTTGTGTGTTTTCTGCATGTGCTCCATAAGCTGAGTGGTAGATGTGAAAAATGCCTGACAATCAGGGCAGACCTTTCTGTCGTTACAGTTGAAAGTTGAACTGTGTTTTTTGGTGAAATGATTCTCGAGATCATATTTGTGCATGTAGCGCCGTTCGCACAGTGAACACACAAACTGTTTCTCTTTGACATGAACACTTTTAATGTGGCGTCGAACGGAAGAGATGTCTTTGAAGGAGGCGCTGCAAGTGGGACACACTTTATTCTTCTTGTGCACGTTAATGGTGTGTTGTCGGAGATCTTTCTTCGAGTTGAGTATTTCAGGGCATATGTAGCACGGGTATTCACCTTCTTCATTCCTTACTTTTATCATTCTGCGAGTTGTACAGGTTAGTGGAACATTACAGAATATTTAAAAACAATCACTCAGAATTGCTGGCAGGATTATATTATCATATTCAATAAAAACATAGTGAAGTTTGTAATGTTCCGAGACAATAAACACAAGGTTTTAATGGTCTAATAATTGTCGCAAGAAAGAATACTGTAGCCTCAGCTGTTTCCCAAACTACAGACTCCCAGATCCCAACTTAATTAAGGTACCCCCTACGTTATATGGTAAGTGGTTACCTCATGGCTCAGTGGCTTAGTCGGTTAATCCGCTTGTCTACTGACCTGGAGGTTGCAAGTTTGAATCCCAGTTGGGCTAAAATCTCAAAAACTGAAGGGCAGCCGTCACTCACCAAACCATGGTGTAAATGGTAGTGGCTTTCGTTAGAGCTGCGAAAATAACAGAGTGCATCATATGCCTGGGCCGGCATCCCGACTATGCTGCAGGGAAATCTGTACCGAAAGGACCGAGCGATACACGAAAAGGAAATCGGCTCCTCGTTCCTAGCTTGCTAGGTTCGCCATGTTGTTGTTGTTGTTGGTTACCTCACTTTAGTTTAGTAGAGGGCAGGGAAGTAGTGCATGTATTTAGCTCAGCACATTGGTATGGATTATAAAGGAGCACACTTAGAACATAATACATTGGTATTCTTTCCTGCGACCGTAGATCGATATGTAATCAATTACAATGTGTAGAGGACCACTACTAATGGTGTAATAATTACTAATGGTGTAATAATTACTAATGGTGTAATAATGGAATAAATAAAATTTGTACAGTCAAACACCCGTTTATTATTGGCTCATATTGCAAAACAAGGACTCATGATGAATCTGGTAGAGGATTACAATTAATCAGCAAAACAAGGACTCATGATGAATCTGGTAGAGGATTACAATTAATCAGAATATATTTGGCATTTTGCCAAAAGGAATTTGACCATACATTATTGATACAGTAAATCTTTGAATACTGAAATACAATAAGATTTAAGATTACATTCTGATGGGTCAGATTATGACATTCTCAACATTATGATGTACTCTGAGTACCAAATACTCCATTTAGGCCAAAATAAATGTGGACATTTTGCAACAAAAAAAGGTGGATTTTCATCTGAAATACAAAAATACCCGATATGTCATTGTTTGAGGTAAGCTGTGCAATAATACAGCAATTAGACCCGACCTCACTTTAGAAATTCGTTATTAATTATTTCAATACTGCTTTAACGCAGATCAGCGTTCTCTCCCAGCGCTACAGGAGTAACGCTTCAGGAGTAACGTTTCAGGTGACATCGTGATTTTCCCGCTTTTTCTTCTTCCGCCTGTGCTTCTTACCTGCAAAAAAAGATTCGTATTGAATATGTATTATTATACAATACATTTGATACATATTATAATCATATGATAGTATTGCGTTTTAAGGCAATATATAGTACTTTTACACACAGTTTAAATAAACGCGAGATATACGGAAATATGCAATGTTATCAAAACTTTGCTGAAGTTGAACTATTTATTACAAGCTTCAATCAGTTAACAACTAACAACAAATCATCATAAAAACACGATGGAATAAGTAAGTTATACCGTAATTATTTAAAAGAGGGGATCGAGAGGTTAATTAATTACTAATAATTAATAATTAAAATGGAATTTATTCGTGAATTTAATTGTAGCTACTGGATACGGTACAGACTTGTCAGGAACAAACATGGCAATATTATATACAGGGTGTACCGTATAAAGTGTGACTTTTTTCCACTTTAATAGTTTTTGACAGAATTTAACTTCACGGTTAATTTTAACTAAATTTTGTCAGAAACATAGTTGAATTGATAAAAATAATAAAAAATATGGTTAATAGTGAAGCACCTTCCAAAAAAAGCCACCCTTCCCAAAAATTAAATAATTTAGTCTGAAATGGACATTATTCATGGCTGAGGTCCAAGATTTTCAAAATATAATAAAAACGTTTTAAAGACCTTCCTCAAAATTCTGCCTGGACAATCTCTTCTAAATGATCCCTAACACATATTTTGAAAGTTTCAGGGTGATTAATCGAAAACAGTCGGAGAAAAAATATTTTTAGACTCGATTTTCACTACGCCAGATAAACTCGATTTTCACTACGTGTGATAGAAAATCGCTCGCACAATACAATTACTTATGAGCGCTGACCTTTGACCAGCGATAACTTCGGCTAGGAACAAAATTTTTTGATAGTTTTTAGCAACTGCTCCTTCATAATATCTTGTATCATTTCTTAAAAAAGTCACACTTTCTATGGTACACCCTGTAGTTACATACACCTGTACCTCCCCACTATTATTTAACCAAGTTTACTGAAAATAATTAGTTGAACTAACCTTCACCGTCTTCATGATCCCTCCTCTTCTTCTTCTTGCGGTGACTGGATGAAAGTGAATTTTTTACATCTCCCAGCCTCCCTGGTTGCAACTTGAAAGCTGAGATCTGTTCGTAGGAAAGCGGGTTCAGGTCTCGCTGCATGGAGGGAGGCTTCCTTAACAATCCAGTTAGTCCCTCAGCATCGCTTATGGTTTTTACATCGATCTTACCTGAAAAATGACAAAATTTGTTAAAGTTTCTCAGTTCTCAACTATCAGGACCCATCAGGTAAGCTACCAACGATAGAACGATATAATATATAACATTCTCACTCACTGACTCGGAACATTTATTATCTTTTCAAAGAGGGCAAGGCCCAGGTCAAGATTTATGCGAGATTGCGAGCCAGACTCATCGCACAAAATTTGTAAATAAATGAGGAAACAGAAAAAGTTTAACTTAAAAGTTGAGGGAATTAGGAACTTAACATGTATTTTATAGTCTTAACGTGTATTTTATCACTTGTTTATATCGTGAAAACTTCGACGTAACGCGCGCGAGATTTTTGCCAGATTTTTGCGAGTTTCGTTTAAATCTCATAGCTAGGCTCACGATATCGTGAGATTTTCCGCGAGATTTCGGCTCCCTCTTTCAGCACTACATATTCGGTCGCGCGCTTGCATTTTCATCGCTTTTCAGCGTGTTTATTCACTGTACTGTCTAAGTCTTAAAGGATACTAACGTTGTTATAAGATCAAGATTCACAGTGGTTACTATAGTTACCATGGTTACCATTAAAGGAGGTCCGGTAACGGTCTAAATCTCAAGTTACTATTCCTGGCTACAGTCTACTCCATCTTTCTCAGAATATACTTGATACTGCCATAGGCATAGTGAATATTTCTTCGTTAAAAGTTTGAGAAAGGGTCTCTTCAACTGGAGAACTGACTTATTAATCCTAGCAGGTAATTGACTCTGGATCCTCATCACATTGATTCCATTCTAAATTCTAGCCATAAACAAAACAAACATTACCAGATAACTCCGTTTACAATAATTTGACATGTTCCAGTGTGAACGAGGCCTTCCCCGGACAAATCCTTAAATGCCAGTCTTCTCTAGATGAAGTACGAACAGTATAATCTATCGGATAACGTATATTACAAGGTGCTCTAATGATAATTTTAGTAAAATAATTAATAATTGCCAAAAGAATGACCGCTGACGAGACTCGAACCTGAGTCTACTGCTTGACGATCGCGCCCTAAACCATCGTGCTACGACAGGCTTACCATGATTACAATATGTAACATTATATAATTCATAAAAATACGCACGTAAATTTTTCGTTATTTATGGATCCAATTACAGTGACATACTTACAATTCTGAGAAATAAACATCGAGCGACATAAAGCGACATACTTACAATTTCGCTTACAAAGGGACTCGCGAAATCTTTTTAAATAGAAAATAATTTGTGGGGCAAGAAATCTTGCAGGCTGGGGGGGGGGGGGGGGGGGGGGGGTGGGGAGTACATTTCGCCACTGCACGTGACACGTGAAAATCGCACTTTTAGTGTCAAAATCCAATATCATCGCACTTTTTTTAGAATCTTGATAGGGGGGGCAAGGATAAACAAATGTATTACCAATTCTATCTCAAAATGATTAACTATTACTATCGACAGCTAACTGAGCAACAATGAAACTTGCATCAGCTCAGGGATGATCAATTAGTTTGTTAGCGTTATATCTTTGACGGCCCCAACGTTAATGTGGCTCTTGCTATGTGTTGGTTCAGCCGAATTAATTATTATGTAATCAAGTTTATTTTTCTCTTTTAGTTAGTTGTCATCCGGCCAAACATTAAGCAACTTATATTGCAGTACCATTTATCAATTAGTATATCAAAATATGTCATGGTAATTTTGCATGGCTGAAATGTAACGCTTGATTTATATATATAATAATTAATTGAATTTTCAAAAAAAAATATATATATATATTATTGAATATTACAGTTAGCTCCTAAATAAACCTTCCACTGAAGTCAAGAAATCGCTGAGGTTTTCTTTCATTTTCCCTTTGCATAGTTTGTTGTAGTCCGGCATGAGTCCAGTCTGGTTAAGGAGATCACCTTGTGCAGTTAGATGTCCTTGAGGTAACTCTGAAATATTTACATTACTTGAGGTAACTCTGAAATATTTACATTACTTGAGGTAACTCTGAAATATTTACATTACTTGAGGTAACTCTGAAATATTTACATTACTTGAGGTAACTCTGAAATATTTACATTACTTGAGGTAACTCTGAAATATTTACATTACTTGAGGTAACTCTGAAATATTTACATTACTTGAGGTAACTCTGAAATATTTACATTACTTGAGGTAACTCTGAAATATTTACATTACTTGAGGTAACTCTGAAATATTTACATTACTTGAGGTAACTCTGAAATATTTACATTACTTGAGGTAACTCTGAAATATTTACATTACTTGAGGTAACTCTGAAATATTTACATTACTTGAGGTAACTCTGAAATATTTACATTACTTGAGGTAACTCTGGAATATTTACATTACTTGAGGTAACTCTGAAATATTTACATTACTTGAGGTAACTCTGAAATATTTACATTACTTGAGGTAACTCTGAAATATTTACATTACTTGAGGTAACTCTGGAATATTTACATTACTTGAGGTAACTCTGAAATATTTACATTACTTGAGGTAACTCTGAAATATTTACATTACTTGAGGTAACTCTGAAATATTTACATTACTTGAGGTAACTCTGAAATATTTACATTAATTGAGGTAACTCTGAAATATTTACATTACTTGAGGTAACTCTGAAATATTTACATTACTTTAGGTAACTCTGAAATATTTACATTACTTGAGGTAACTCTGAAATATTTACATTACTTGAGGTAACTCTGAAATATTTACATTACTTGAGGTAACTCTGAAATATTTACATTACTTGAGGTAACTCTGAAATATTTACATTACTTGAGGTAACTCTGAAATATTTACATTACTTGAGGTAACTCTGAAATATTTACATTACTTGGGGTAACTCTGAAATATTTACATTACTTGAGGTAACTCTGAAATATTTACATTACTTGAGGTAACTCTGAAATATTTACATTACTTGGGGTAACTCTGAAATATTTACATTACTTGAGGTAACTCTGAAATATTTACATTACTTGAGGTAACTCTGAAATATTTACATTACTTGAGGTAACTCTGAAATATCTACATTACTTGAGGTAACTCTGAAATATTTACATTACTTGAGGTAAGTCTGAAATATTTACATTACTTGAGGTAACTCTGAAATATTTACATTACTTGAGGTAACTCTGAAATATTTACATTACTTGAGGTAACTCTGAAATATTTACATTACTTGAGGTAACTCTGTAATATTTACATTACTTGAGGTAACTCTGAAATATTTGCAAAAATTGAATGTAAGAATTTGAATAATGGTACATTATGTAAAATACAGCAAGTAAATAAATCTAAAAATATGTTTTTACTTATAACTGAGATACTTAAATAATGCAAGCTGTATGTATTATGCAATAATGATAATGCTTTTAGGTACCTGCTGGTGACGTATGAAGATAGAAAGGAGAACTTTTCACTTTTTTCTCCTCTTGAACGTGATTAGCATGTTTATCTTTTCCTTCCAGCGTTCAGCTATTTAATACATCACAAGCCTTCTATAAAAACATTATTATAACAAATTAGGGTGACTCAAATAACATAATTTCTTAAAATTAATCAAAAGCATCATCTCAAATAGCTACGCATTTTTGAGGTTTACGAAAAAGATTAATGAAATCAATCTGATGCTTTAGATGTTAGTTGGACAGAATAATACAATTTTAGTCGAAAAGAAAGTTTATTTGTGATCTATTACATAATTTCGATATAACGGCTGCACCGTACTATACTGTACATATTTTTATATATTTACAACTTGAGAGTGTGTTTGATAAGAAATGTTGAGTGTGAATTAGTGTGGAAATAAAAAAGACTGGATATCTCCTGCTCCTCATTTCAGACGAACGGATGCTGGATTTATGTTTTGTGGACCAAAAATTTGGAATGAACTACCCTACTCAGTGAGATCATTATCATCTGTAGAATGTTTTAAAAATGCGCTCAAGACGTTTTATTTCCACCTAGCTTTTGATAATATTTCTAATATTTGTCCATAAAGTCTGAACTGATCATGATATGAAAGTGCATAATCTTGGTATTTCAACATTAAGTCTCGCTTGAATGACTTAAATGTACATCTTTGTTGGGTATATTTTAATGTCGAAGCGTGTAATAAATGTTAGAATTTAAGTTTGGGGCACAAAGTTACTTGGGACACACTTGGGGCACACTTGGGGCAGAAGCAGTTGGGGCACAGCTGGGGCACAGCTGGGGCACACTTGGGGCACAGTTGAGGCAAAAAAGTGACTTGAAGCACAGTTTTTGTAAAAATATAACTTGCAGCAGCCCCATACCTTGTCATGAACATAATATCGAAACTACCTCTATGATCACATCTTTCTCTGGGTGCAAAATGAATATATATATAGGTTTATTAGTTTTATAGAAATTTAAAAGTTCTATAGAAATTTATTATTATATAAGGATTATAAACATTTTGTTTGTGTGTTTTGTGTTATGCATTTTTATACCTATTTTAGAAGAGATTTTTATAGAATGTTACAAGTGCAGTAGGGTCAGTTTCAGACGAATTAAGCATAAATGACATCATTGCCATGTCTGAAGTGGTTTGTAAATGGGCCATTGTTAGCCCCAAGCGTTTTGGTCCCTCATTCCTGCCACTCAGCATTGCCTACTGTAAAGTAGAAATTTTTCTAAGATAATAGAGAAACTGACCTTGTCTCACTAAATTCAACCACTTACCATAATAAAAATACTAACAACCAAATAAAGTTTTTTAAATAATTATATACAATCAAATATTTCCTCAAGGTTACTTCTAGCTAACTAATTCGTGGTTTAAGCTCTTATTTTATTTATGATTAAAGGAATGTAAAATAAAACTTTTCGTTTCATTGAAAACTTTTCGTTTCATTGTAAACTAAACACACTTGGGGCACAAAGTTACTTGGGGCACACTTGGGGCACACTTGGGGCAGAAGCAGTTGGGGCACAGCTGGGGCACACTTGGGGCACAGTTGAGGCAAAAAAGTGACCTGAAGCACAGTTTTTGTAAACTAAACACACTTGGGGCACACTTGGGGCACACTTGGGGCAGATACAGCTGGGGACCAGCTGGAGCACACTTGGGGCACAACCAGGAAGTTAACACTAACAGCTACCAAGCACCAGGAAATTTCTCTTTCAGATATCAGGTTAAAAGATAGTACACGCACAAATGACGGCACGTTAGACACAGATACCTAGCTCTAAGAGCTATTAAATCACCAGGAAATTCTCTTTCAGCTTTCAGGTCCCATCGAAGTCACCCACCACAGAGCTAGGGATTCCAATTCGCTCATTCTGACACACTGATAATGAGTAGTCTTGGTACTTCTCCCTCCAGTAACCACTTTTCAGGTCTTTTCAGGTATTTTCAGTTACAACAGCTAATTCATAAGGTCTGACACACGCTTGACACAGGCTCGTGAGTTAGGGATTTCAACTCTCTCACTCCGACTTTGAGGACACACTGATTTTCCTGGCACTTCTTCCTCCAGTAACCACTTTTCAGGTCTTCTCAGCTAGACAGCTAAGGGCTCATCTTGAGGCCATCACATTTAACTTAGGATTAGGGGACGGGGTTAGCTTTGCCACACTCTTCATTAAAATGTGACTTGACGCTCTACAATCATCTAGTAGCAGCAGAGTTTGACGGGCACCCTTACTGGTTCTAATCAGTTTCTACAGCTGAAGATCTCAACGCTCGAAAACAGTTCATCTCGGACATCCTGCAGAGATGCTTTATCACAGCCTGTCCCATTACACAGGGAACCTTTAGATCTACAGTACCCTGGTGGACAGCATAGCTCACTAAAGCATAGCGGACCTCTTTAGTTCTGAGACGCAAAGCTAACCGGACCAGGAATAAACAACAATTCAATGCTTCGGGGATGCAAATAGGACATACAACTTTTAACATACAAACTTTGGATTCAATTTGTTAGCTCGATGTTACATGGTAACAATACAGGACAGCACCCCTGCAGATTTCGTCGATTTCAGGTGCCGACAGGACCTTAAAAATTAAAAGCAAACTTAAATTTTTTCCCTTAAAATCGAGCGCTTTCTGCGCAAAAAATTGACCTCAACAGACAAAATTAAACATGGCTTCCAATCCAAATTTGAACCAGAGATTTTTCACTTCCTCTCGATAAACTCAATTTTCAACCCAAAATAAAGTCTCAAAAGGGGAAATTACTCAGGTCAGGATTGTAGGCAATGATTATGCCAAACCATACATTTTTGTAAATTCATTAAACTTTCAATTTAGCCTAAAACACCCTGTTTCGCAAAAATTTTCCGGGGGGCTGTGCCCCCCCAATGGGGTCCGCCCCTGGACCCCGCTGGGGGCTGCGCCCCCAGACCCCTGCCACAACTTGCAGCTTCGCTCGCCGACAGCCCCCCCCCCCCAAAGAAAAATCCTTGCTACGTGCCTGAGCAAAATATAGGTTAAGGGCTTTTCAGATGATTTGGCTCCTCAACAGATACCGACGTACATAACGGTCAATATTTAGTTTAGGTTTACCTGGCCCGTAGGTTACGAATGTGCCGAGGAGAAAAAAAGCAAACTTAAGAAGATTTCTCGGGAACTTAAAAGTTCACCTCAAAACGAAATCTGCACCTATGCAGGACAGACAGTCCTCCTTCAGGTTCATTGAGGAAATCGCCTGTATTAATAGTAATACGCCCAGCCAGTAATATAAGGTTTACTGGGACTCTTTGAATTTTATTAACAATGAATTTGAGTTGGTTTCATTTGTATTATATTAAAAGTTGCTGGAAATCCAAACGTCCAGGAGAGAGGCATGGTTTTGAAAATTAGGACACACCCGGGGAGTAGGGGGGTCTGAAAATTTGTGATTTTGGCGGACGTCCTAAATAGATGGCCCCTTATATAAATAATGTAACTACATTAATTGACGATGTCAATTCTTCGCAGCTCGGTGAGGCCCACAGCCCAGTAATATTATAGCGCATCTTGCCGAAATTTTTAACGGGTGATACTCGTAAAATATCTGTAAAATATCTGTCCCATATATTGGACCGTCGACGAGTCCAACTCGGCGCGCGTCCTGGTAGGTTGTAAACCTACAACGAAATTTTAACAAATATGGCCTGGTTCATTATTAATGGTTAACGCATTGCACGACAACTAATTTCACTAATATTACTGAATATTACTGCGAATATTACTTAATATTCAATATTACTAACAGTAATATTATAATTGATTAACGATGTCAATCATTCGCTGCTCGGCAAGGTTTGTCATACGTTGTATGACCCGCCGCGCACGAGTGTGCGGCTCCCCCTGTATCGTAGAAACTTCCCTGTATCGTAGAAACTCTACAGGGCCGGGGTGGTCGTGTCCACTATAGTGAAATTAATATAAAACGACAATGGAGGTCATGACGTGATAAAAGGCAAAACCCATTGGTGCATTTTGCCGATCTACCGATGTCGATCATGGTTGCGAGAAAACTTATTTGATGCGCGGCACGGCCCAATAGACAATAGTGCATCGCGCTACAAATATTATTAATACTCTACCAGGGGTTTTTATTCACCTAACCATGTGCTTTCGCGCCACTTCGGGCGCGCTACTGCAAGCGTAAGGGCTCTGGATAGAGCAAGGGTTTTTAAATTATTTTGCGGTTAATATTCTGTTTGTAGTTTGTTACTGTTCATGTTAGGTTGCAATTGGCCGGTCCGGAAGTACGAGTTTCTTTTGTTACATAGTACGGCGTAAGACTCTAAACCCTTATTACCCTATTACCCTAACCCTTGACGGATGTTACTCTTCTAAATTTTTTCGAAGTAGCGTGCGCCGCTTGCTTCTCGAAATGTTGGCCCGATGGTAAGTACCACGCGCGAAGTAGCGCGCGCTGGGCCAGATCATTAACAATGGTCAACCCTAATTCCCTCACCCGGCCCGGCCCGCCACCGTACAAGAACTAGACCATATGGCATGCAAATACTAGGCCATAAACATTTTGAAAAGGAGCATACGAAACCCATTTTTAATAGGTTAAAAATTCTTACGGCTCAAAACTTGTACAAATATCACTGTATTTTAGAATTCTCTAAGATTATCAAGTACCACTGCCCATACTCCCTTTATGAGGCTATCAACATTTCAAACCGTGCAACGAGTCTAACAGTTATTCTTCTAAATAAATCAAATACCTTTTTGTTTAATGCAGCCAAGCTTTGGAACACTGTTCATAAAAAAATTTTAACTTCAAGCAATTGTCTAGAAACTTCCATTAACTTGATAAAATTGAGAACGAAAGCACTATTAATACAATCACAGGCTGCTGACTTAAAAGAGACTTGGACTCCAAACAATTTTAAGTTACAGTAATTTAATCTAATTGCAGCAGCACATAACATAATTTAAACTATTTCTATCATTATTGTACTACAGACTGAAAATATCTCAGATCTATTTTGGGCGTTTTTAACAACTTGTAGTTGTAATTCTTAAATATTAGATATCCTAATTTATAACTTTTTAATCAGAGTGAATTAATAATTGAGATTTGATAATTTATTTATTTGATAGTTTAGTCTGATATTGATATTAATATTGATTATATTGATATTGTTATTATTGAATGAAGCTAATTCCAGACATAAATAATACTACTTCTATTAACAAAGGGACTTGGAGTATAAACGACCAATTTTGCATAATTGTCTTTCCAACCACGAATTCAGGAGGCAAGGGTGGGTGCGTAAACTTTATGGTCTGCACTCTCAGATCCTGTATCACCCTGGATTCATTTCGACGTATTTTTGGTAAAAGTATACATATACTTTCTGGTCACTCTCTTGCTACTCCAAGTCCCCTAAGATATATGGTCTAAAGTTTGCACTAGTTATATATATAAAATATGTTTTTGTCTGCTTTAACTGATACTAAATAAAATTGTTGTTTTCTTGAAATTGTTGTTTTCTTGAGAGTCCGGCGCGGACCCCGTTGGAGTTAATACATTGAGTTATTGTATTCACCAGTTTCGCACGCTGCATTTAGCAAAGTAGTCATGACAACGACATTACTTTGCAAAGTTTAAAAGCTAGAGCTGCGATCTTTTATTTAGCCCAAAATTAAACCTTTCGCGATAATTCAAAATCTAAGTTGTCCCAAATTTGCCTCCTGGGGAGCTAACTTTAAATTTACGAAACGTAAATTTTGTTGAAAACCGGAAGGTTCTATTTATTTTACTTTTGGAGATATACCCCAGCCGGTAGGGTTTGCTGGGCCTAACCTACGCGCGTTTAAAAGAATTTGCACTTTCATTTTAAAACGTTCACTTTGACAAACCATAACTCTCCACCAATCAAGTCAATTTTTACCTGGAGACCTCAGGCTATTATGTTCATAAACATACGCCGAATAGAGATTCGGCGGAATGACAGGCTGAGCGCGGCCCAGTAAGTCAATTTTCAATTTTAAAATACCAAAAGAAAGTAAAGAATTTTGCCAACACGAAAGGGGATCCCTGGATGGGGTAATAAAAACGCGATCTTCACTCTCAAAATCGACTTTTAAAACTTTCCGCCGAAATTATAAGTCTTATATCGCAAAACATCCCCCTACCTCCCTGCACCTCCCCCCCTTTCCCCCTTCCTTATGCTTTCTTCTGCAGCTGAACTATGAACTCTCAGCTTTTTCGCCCACCCAGAAAACCTTACCGCCTGCCGGGCTCGCTAGAGGTGATCGATTTTCAACAGCACGTTTGTCCTCGCGCGTCACATCAAGTTCACCAGCTTTCGCACGCTGCATTTAGCATACAGCATAGTAATCATGACAACGACATTACTTTGCAAAGTTTAAAAGCTGCGATCTTTCATTTAGCCCAAAATCAAACTTTCGGTTTAATTCAGAATCTAAGTTGTCCCAAATTTTGCTCCTGGGGAGCTAACTTTAAATTTACGAGACGCAAATTTTGTTGAAAACCGGAAGGTTCTATTTATTTTACTTTTGGAGATATACCCCAGCCGGTAGGGTTTGCTGGGCAAATATAAACACAACGACTTAAAATTAATTAAAAGGAATAATATATTACAAATTTGACTGATTTTTTGTAACCACAGCTTCTCCAGATAAGAAGTAACATCCAAAATATCGAGAAAATAACTCGGTTAACAGCCCACTACACTGTCAAGCTGATAAATTAATTAATAAACATTCAATGTATTCTATGCGACTAGTTAACAATCGCCCAAACATTCAACGCAACTTGGTTATTTTATATGATTATTCTATAAAATTATTTTATAAAATTATTCTATATAATATATAAATAAGATCGAAATTAAAATCCCGAATCTTAAACGAGATTAGTTACTGGTAAATATGCTACTGGTTACTAGGTCACTGGTTACTCGGTAAAAACTCGGTGACTAGCTAATAGTCTCTAAAGTAGTAGGACGAGTAGAGGTAGAGCTGCAGCCAGTGAAAGGGAGAACGAGACAGCGTCAGACTCAGTGTCAGTGTCAGTGTCAGTGTCAGTGTCAGTGTCAGTGTCAGTGTCAGTGTCAGTGTCAGTGTCAGACTCAAACTTGATATCACCTGAAAGAGTTATAAATTGAGAAATAATAATATTGAGGAGCACTAACTACTACAGTTTGGGAGAAAGGAAAAAGCAGCGGTAATTCGGGGTTTGCGGTAAATCGGGGTTTGCAGTAAATCGGGGTTTTACTATATTACAGAATGGTTCAGAAACAATTATAAAATCTACCACAGTTCTCTTACTTTTGGTGATCCCATCAGACCGGCCAACCCAGAATAGTTATCACTGACATTTGAACTATTGTTAGTAATTAAAAACTCACAATGGTCGTCCGCGTCCAGCAGTTTTATAACCACGTCTCCCTTCTGGCTGTCATACACAGCCTGCACGTCAGAACATGTTATCGAGTGAGGCACGCATTGCTTTAGAAGAATTGACACGTTCTCAATCTCAAAATTCTCCATATTGTCGAAGCTAAATTCGAAGCTGAAGAATTTGATTTAAGTGTTAAATTCAATTTATAATATCAAATTACATCGGACTAAGCATTTTGACGATCAGGTGTTTTAAGTATTGCAGGGTTATTGTATTCAGTTAAACAAAAATCACAATGCTGGCAAGCATGACCGCGCCTCTTAACAGTTATATTCACAATACTATTTACCCCCTTTACTATTTACCACCTTTACTATTTACCCCCTTTACTATTTACCCCCTTTACTATTTACCACCTTTACTATTTACCCCCTTTACTATTTACCACCTTTACTTTTTACCCCCTTTATTATTTACCCCCTTAACTATTTACCACCTGTACTTTTAATATACCCCCTTTACTAGTATACCCCTTTACTATAATTATACCTCTTTATTGTTTTTCAGGCATTAAGACTCATAGAAAGTAGTTCAGCAGGTATATTTAAGTTCAAAACATTCTAATTCAATGTTTAAGATGACAGGAATAAGAAATAGTTATGTGAAGGTTTTTAAGAAATTTGCGCAAAATACGCGCCTGCAGCATGTTTTACGAAATTCGGTAAAAAACCCAAAATCGCCATATTCAGGTGCCTTAAAATCATGTTAAAATTGAGTTAGAGATCTGAAACTTTGCAGGGCGTGACCCAGAGGCACATATTAGGTGCGATGGGTGCGGGATCGCACAATTTACCGTTTTCCGCACATTTCCACATAATTTATTGTTTTCCGCACATTTTGTAATTTTCTGCATATTTCCGCATAATCTAGCATTTCCCGCGTAATTTCGCATAATTTTTAAATTTTCGCGTTAAGATTTTCGAGTGTAAAAACCAAAAAGTCTTTAAAAGTCGGGCCCTTTTAGGACCGTGACTCAGGCCCTTTCGGGACCCTGACCCAGGCCCTTTTGGAACTCATACCTAGGCCACGTGACCCAGTTACCACGTGACCCAGGCCCTTTTGGGACCCTGACCGAGGCCCTTTCGGGACCGTGACCCAGGCCCTTTTGGAACTCATGCCTAGGCCACGTGACCCGGTTACCACGTGACCCAGGCCCTTTCGGGACCGTGACCCAAGCCCTTTCGGGACCGTGACCCAGGCCCTTTCGGGACCGTGACCCAGGCCGTTATGGAACCCTCGTCGTTACCGTATTTCGATTATAGTGTATCAGTTATCATTCGTAACTTCACCACATCATCTGATTACTCTATATATCACATCACAACGTCATGGACCGTTTCCTAAAGAAACGAACAGCTACAGACAATGACCCATCATCAAGCTCATCACACAAGAAACAGAAGATACCTGCATCAGCAAAACAAGGGGATATCTCAGCAGCATGGCGAGCTCAAGAGTTTGGTTCACATTTTTACGAATCTGGGGGGAAGAGAGGCGTCTTCAAATAACTGTCTCCTGATCTCTACCAGATCAAGTCACTGTTCTCGGATAACTGAATCTCAATATAGTTATTGTGAATATAACAGCAACGGTAATGCTTGCCAGCATTGTGATATGATTGTTAGCGGCCAAAGAAGCTATATTCACTCGGCGGCTGGTGACATTTAATGAAAAATTTGCTAGACTGGGGTCAGATAGAATGGGGTCAGATAGCGCCCCATTAGCGATAATATGGCACGAAGCTACCTATTGCTGGGAGGAAAGATGAGAACGTATCTTCAACCTAGGTCAATGCTATAAGGTATTTTACTGAAGACAGAATTGGTGAAAGTCGGGAAATTATTCTGTGAGTGTGGGCAGACAATTGTTCCGCTCAGAACAAATGCTAGACGGCTTTGTACTACGGCTTACACTGCGTTATGTTCGCTCATAAACAGCCCTGACCTCGATCTTGACACGATAACACTATAACAGTGAAATATCTGGAGCCAGGCCATACGTTCAGGAGCGCTGACTCGTTCCACCATAAAGTGGAACTGTCCATCAAACAGTGCGGACAGCTACATAATTATGACTTATGAGGACTTTGTTGGTACAGTGGAAAAGGTGATACTGCTGTTTCTAATTTCTATGGCCTGTTCGGACTTTCATTCTTGGCCTAGGTCACGTCATATCGGACAAGCAACCGCTGCAAAACAGAAAGACCACTGCTCGAGAAGGTTATCAGGTTTCAGCGTGGCTCGGTCCAAATGGAATGGAAATCAGAGCACAACGAGGTTTCCTTCCGTTCTGCTCCATTTCTGCGGCAGAAAGAAGAGAATCATAGCTTTCCCACAAAATCAACCACAGGGTATAGCAAGCAAAGAAAGATATGGTTCAAAAACTTTGTAGACTTATGAGCCCCCGCAGTCGAGTATTTTGGGTTGATCTTCCCAGCTCTGACCATGTAGCAGATCTCAATAGAGAATTTTATTAATATTTATTAATGAGTATTTTCATTTACCAGTTATTTATGTACAGGATTATTTACAATTATATTATATTACCGTTATATTTTTATACGCTTGTTTTTCTTTGCCTTATAGGCTATTGGTGACTAGGCTACTGGTTACTAGACTACTAGTTACTAGGTTCCTTCTCATGGGCAACCATGGGGATTTGATAGGTTCCTGGTTATTATAAAGTTACTAGGTTACTAGGTTATTAGGTTCCTGGTTATTAAGTTACTAGGTTACTAGGTTACTTGTTACTAGGTTACTGGTTACCAGGTTAATGGTTACTAGGTTACCGATTTCTTGGTTACTGGTTACTGTATTTATCAGAGAGTACCTGAGTTTCATTGAGACTGTCGCACACTCCATGTTGCTATCCTCACACGTTACCATCTCCGGGGTCTTACAGTCAGCTGAAAGGGAATCACATTACATAACCCCTCTCCAGACACATTACAGAACCCCTCTAGACACATTACAGAACCCCCTCCAGACACATTACAGAACCCCCTCCAGACACATACAGAACCCCCTCCAGACACATTACAGAACCCCCTCCAGACACATTACAGAACCCCCTCCAGACACATTACAGAACCCCCTCCAGACACATTACAGAACCCCCTCTAGACACATTACAGAACCCCCTCCAGACACATTACAGAACCCCCTCCAGACACATTATAGAACCCCCTCCGGTACATTACAGAACCCCCTCCCAGACACATTAGAGAACCCCTCCAGACACATTACAGAACCCCCTCCAGACACATTACAGAACCCCCTCCAGACACATTACAGAACCCCCTCCAGACACATTACAGAACCCCCTCCAGACACATCACAGAACCCCCTCCAGACACATTACAGAACCCCCTCCAGACACATTACAGAACCCTCTCCAGACACATTACAGAACCCCCTCCCAGACACATTACAGAACCCCCTCCAGACACATTACAGGACCCCCTCCAGACACATTACAGAACCCCCTCCAGACACATTACAGAACCCCCTCTAGACACATTACAGAACCCCCTACAGACACATTACAGAACCCCCTCCCAGACACATTACAGAACCCCCTCCAGACACATTACAGAACCCCCTCCAGACACATTACAGAACCCCCTCCAGACACATTACAGAACCCCCTCCAGACACATTACAGAACCCCTCCAGACACATTACAGAACCCTCTCCAGACACATTACAGAACCCCCTCGAGACACATTACAGAACCCCTCCAGACACATACAGAACCCCCTCTAGACACATTACAGAACCCCCTCCAGACACATTACAGAACCCCCTTCAGACACATTACAGAACTCCCTCCAGACACATTACAGAACCCCTCCAGACACATTACAGAACCCCCTCCAGACACATTACAGAACCCCCTCCAGACACATTACAGAACCCCCTCCAGACACATTACAGAACCCCCTCCAGACACATTACAGAACCCCCTCCAGACACATTACAGAACCCCCTCCAGACACATTACAGAACCCCCTCCAGACACATTACAGAACCCCCTCCCAGACACATTACAGAACCCCTCCAGACACATTACAGAACCCTCTCCAGACACATTACAGAACCCCCTCGAGACACATTACAGAACCCCTCCAGACACATACAGAACCCCCTCTAGACACATTACAGAACCCCCTCCAGACACATTACAGAACCCCCTTCAGACACATTACAGAACTCCCTCCAGACACATTACAGAACCCCTCCAGACACATTACAGAACCCCCTCCAGACACATTACAGAACCCCCTCCAGACACATTACAGAACCCCCTCCAGACACATTACAGAACCCCCTCCTGACACATTACAGAACCCCCTCCAGACACATTACAGAACCCCCTCCAGACACATTACAGAACCCCCTCGAGACACATTACAGAACCCCCTCCAGACACATTACAGAACCCCCTCCAGACACATTACAGAACCCCCTCCAGACACATTACAGAACCCCCTCCAGACACATTACAGAACCCCCTCCAGACACATTACAGAACCCCCTCCAGACACATTACAGAACCCCCTCCAGACACATTACAGAACCCCCTCCTGACACATTACAGAACCCCCTCCAGACACATTACAGAACCCCCTCCAGACACATTACAGAACCCCCTCGAGACACATTACAGAACCCCCTCCAGACACATTACAGAACCCCCTCTAGACACATTACAGAACCCCCTCCAGACACATTACAGAACCCCCTCTAGACACATTACAGAACCCCCTCCAGACACATTACAGAACCCCCTCCAGACACATACAGAACCCCCTCCAGAAACATTACAGAACCCCTCCAGACACATACAGAACCCCCTCTAGACACATTACAGAACCCCTCCAGACACATTACAGAACCCCTCCAGACACATTACAGAACCCCTCCAGACACATACAGAACCCCCTCTAGACACATTACAGAACCCCCTCCAGACACATTACAGAATCCCCTCCAGACACATTACAGAACCCCTCCAGACACATTACAGAACCCCCTCCAGACACATTACAGAACCCCCTCCAGACACATTACAGAACCCCTCCAGACACATACAGAACCCCCTCCAGACACATTACAGAACCCCCTCCAGACACATTACAAAACCCCTCCAGACACATTACAGAACCCCCCCCCCAGACACATTACAGAACCCCTCCAGACACATTACAGAACCCTCTCCAGACACATTACAGAACCCCCTCCAGACACATTACAGAACCCCCTCCAGACACATTACAGAACCCGTCCAGACACATACAGAACCCCCTCTAGACACATTACAGAACCCCCTACAGACACATTACAGAACCCCATTCAGACACATTACAGAACCCCCTCCAGACACATTACAGAACCCCTCCAGACACATACAGAACCCCCTCTAGACACATTTCAGAACCCCCTCCAGACATATTACAGAACCCCCTTCAGACACATTACAGAACCCCCTCCAGACACATTACAGAACCCCTCCAGACACATACAGAACCCCCTCTAGACACATTACAGAACCCCCTCCAGACACATTACAGAACCCCCTTCAGACACATTACAGAACTCCCTCCAGACACATTACAGAACCCCTCCAGACACATTACAGAACCCCCTCCAGACACATTACAGAACCCCCTCCAGACACATTACAGAACCCCCTCCAGACACATTACAGAACCCCCTCCAGACACATTACAGAACCCCCTCCAGACACATTACAGAACCCCCTCCAGACACATTACAGAACCCCCTCCAGACACATTACAGAACCCCCTCCCAGACACATTACAGAACCCCTCCAGACACATTACAGAACCCTCTCCAGACACATTACAGAACCCCCTCGAGACACATTACAGAACCCCTCCAGACACATACAGAACCCCCTCTAGACACATTACAGAACCCCCTCCAGACACATTACAGAACCCCCTTCAGACACATTACAGAACTCCCTCCAGACACATTACAGAACCCCTCCAGACACATTACAGAACCCCCTCCAGACACATTACAGAACCCCCTCCAGACACATTACAGAACCCCCTCCAGACACATTACAGAACCCCCTCCAGACACATTACAGAACCCCCTCCAGACACATTACAGAACCCCCTCCAGACACATTACAGAACCCCCTCCCAGACACATTACAGAACCCCCTCCAGACACATTACAGAACCCCCTCCAGACACATTACAGAACCCCCTCGAGACACATTACAGAACCCCCTCCAGACACATTACAGAACCCCCTCTAGACACATTACAGAACCCCCTCCAGACACATTACAGAACCCCCTCTAGACACATTACAGAACCCCCTCCAGACACATTACAGAACCCCCTCCAGACACATACAGAACCCCCTCCAGAAACATTACAGAACCCCTCCAGACACATACAGAACCCCCTCTAGACACATTACAGAACCCCTCCAGACACATTACAGAACCCCTCCAGACACATTACAGAACCCCTCCAGACACAGACAGAACCCCCTCTAGACACATTACAGAACCCCCTCCAGACACATTACAGAATCCCCTCCAGACACATTACAGAACCCCTCCAGACACATTACAGAACCCCCTCCAGACACATTACAGAACCCCCTCCAGACACATTACAGAACCCCTCCAGACACATACAGAACCCCCTCCAGACACATTACAGAACCCCCTCCAGACACATTACAAAACCCCTCCAGACACATTACAGAACCCCCCCCCCCAGACACATTACAGAACCCCTCCAGACACATTACAGAACCCTCTCCAGACACATTACAGAACCCCCTCCAGACACATTACAGAACCCCCTCCAGACACATTACAGAACCCCTCCAGACACATACAGAACCCCCTCTAGACACATTACAGAACCCCCTACAGACACATTACAGAACCCCATTCAGACACATTACAGAACCCCCTCCAGACACATTACAGAACCCCTCCAGACACATACAGAACCCCCTCTAGACACATTTCAGAACCCCCTCCAGACATATTACAGAACCCCCTTCAGACACATTACAGAACCCCCTCCAGACACATTACAGAACCCCTCCAGACACATACAGAACCCCCTCTAGACACATTACAGAACCCCCTCCAGACACATTACAGAACCCCATCCAGACACATTACAGAACCCCCTCCAGACACATTACAGAACCTCCTCCAGACACATTACATAACCCCCTCCAGACACATTACAGAACCCCCTCCAGACACATTACAGAACCCCCTCCAGACACATACAGAACCCCCTCTAGACACATTACAGAACCCCCTCCAGACACATTACAGAACCCCCTCCAGACACATTACAGAACCCCCTCTAGACACATTACAGAACCCCCCCAGACACATTACAGAACCCCCTCCAGACACATTACAGAACCCCCTCCAGACACATTACAGAACCCCCTCCAGACACATTACAGAACCCCTCCAGACACATACAGAACCCCCTCCAGACACATTACAGAACCCCCTCCAGACACATTACAAAACCCCTCCAGACACATTACAGAACCCCCCCCCCCCCCCAGACACATTACAGAACCCCTCCAGACACATTACAGAACCCTCTCCAGACACATTACAGAACCCCCTCCAGACACATTACAGAACCCCCTCCAGACACATTACAGAACCCCTCCAGACACATACAGAACCCCCTCTAGAGTCTAGACACATTACAGAACCCCCTCCAGACACATTACAGAACCCCCTCCAGACACATTACAGAACCCCCTCCAGACACATTACAGAACCTCCTCTATACAGTGGCGTAACTTTGCCTGTTGGCGCCCCCTCCCCTTTTGGCGCCCCTCCCTAAAATTAAACAAATTGTGTGATTTTAGAGGATACCGATAAAATCTCTTAAAAAATGTGTTTCTAGAGCAAAGCGCGCAGTTTTTTTAGTACCCCCTTAGTCTTAAACTCGTACTTTCATTACTGAATCAAATGAGCAGAAATCATTACAGATCTTTAAAAATATTTTTGCACGATTTGCACGATTTAACAAATTTCTTGAATGAGGAAACAGTAAAAGCTTGAAAAACAAAAGGTCAGGAAACCGAGGGCCGATAAGAAATCGTGACAACTTCACTCATACGAAGCAAAGAAGTTGAAAAGAATTCGACACGAGATGACACTTACCTCCAGCTGCTGGTTACTAGGCTACTGGTTACTAGGGTACTGGTTACTAGACTACTGTGTACTAGGTTACTAGGCTACTGGTTACTAGGTTATTAGGCTACTGGTTACCAGGTTACTGGTTACTAAGCTACTGGTTACTAGGCTACTGGGTAGTGGGTACTAGGTTACTAGGCTACTGGTTACTAGGTTATTAGGCTACTGGTTACCAGGTTACTGGTTACTAAGCTACTGGTTACTAGGCTACTGGTTATTAGGTTACTGGTTACTAGGTTACTAGGCTACTGGTTACTAGGCTACTGGTTACTAGGTTACTAGGCTACTGGTTACTAGGTTATTAGGCTACTGGTTACTAGGTTACTGGTTACTAGGCTACTGGTTACTAGGCTACTGGTTACTAGGTTACACTTACATCCAGCTACTGGTTACTAGGCTACTGGTTACTAAGCTAATGGTTACTATGTTACTGGTTACTAGGCTACTGGTTATTAGGTTACTAGGCTACTGGTTACTAGGTTACTAGGCTACTGGTTACTAGGTTACTAGTCTACTGGTTACTAGGTTACTAGGCTACTGGTTATTAGGGTACTAGGCTACTGGTTACTAGGTTACTAGGCTACTGGTTACTAGGTTACTAGTCTACTGGTTACTAGGTTACTAGGCTACTGGTTACTGGGCTACTGGTTACTAGGCTACTGGTTAGTGGTTACTAGGTTACACTTACCTCCAGCTACTGGTTACTAGGCTACTGGTTACTAAGCTACTGGTTACTAAGCTACTGGTTACTAGGCTACTGGTTACTAGGCTACACTTACCTTGTCCTTCAGAAAAACTTTGCTCAAAAGCGGCCTTCTCCTCATCCGATAAATCGCTCACATTAGTTGTGTCGGCAGTAAGGCAGTTAGGGCACTGAAGACCGTAACCAACAGTGAATATTCCGAGTAAAAGAAGTAGAGAGTTCATCTTACCTTGGTGTCTTGGATCAGCTATTGGGGGTAATGTGTTTAAAACTTGAATGGCAATTAAACTTTGCAAAACCTTAGCTATTTATATACACTAACAAATTGCCATCCAAACAGCTAATTTCCTGCTCAAATTGACCACACTATAATTGGATAGTGTAATGATAATCCACTGCAATGTAGAAACTTGTTACGTCGTACAAGAGATTTGTACATGCTAGACTCTAGAGGCATGTATCAGACAAATCTGCTTAGCTTCTTCACTATAGAAACAGTAATATGCAAGCTTGATGTGCACGTTTCTTTACCAGGTAACTATGGCAACTTTGCTGGAAGTTTAACAAACTAATTTTTATCACACCATTGAACCTGTGATATCTACCATTTAGTATATTATGATAGTCTTGAAGCACTCGATGATCTCCATCAAAGTGCTCATCTGCCTACTCTGCCGTCGAACGAGGTCTACTGCTTGCTTAAGCCAGAGTGACAGAGTCCTTTTATAAACAGACGGAGCCATGAATATTTCGTAGTTCATATCTCCACAAATGTCATGGTCGACGTCGTCTATTTTCAGTTCTTTTCCCATCGCAGTGAACCACTTATAAACACAGCCCTCTACATCTTCCTATTATTCATAATTGAAATCCTTGATTTTCTCCTGAGATCGGGTCAAATTTAAATCATCCTCCATAGCGTACTTGTATAGTACTTGTATAGATAAGATGTAAGAGAGCTCGATAATCGCAACGTAAGTTACACTGACTACACGAATCTTACTAATTTTTATCACACGAAATGAACTAATTAAATATAACAACGCTGGACCCTTTCTAGTCCAACTGCACAATGAGGATCGCAAACATCGTTGCTCCCACGACCTCCAGCTGGTGTAAAATTACAGCCTAATGAAACTAAACACTATCTGCACTTACCAAACTGCAGCTGGAGTGAGAAAATGTTGGCAAACAAGTAATATAAAAATATAAGCAGTGTGCTGGAGTTTTGTCAGCGCCTGCAATTAAACGGATGGATTGATTCCATCAGAAGAGAGTTTATTTGATCAAGCATGAGACACCACTATGCAGACTTCCTAAGAAATATGTTAGAATCTTTCAGGCATTTTTCTACGGAACCATGAGTGCTGTCAGGGTTAATGGTGAAATTTCTGATTGGTTCTCTGTCCATTCAGGCACTGGACAGGCTGATATCCAAGACCCTCCTGTATTTAATTTTTGTCTGAACTTTGGAATCTTCTTGGCCGAGGTTCACAAGGCAATCAGACATGGTGCTGTACTGCAAAAGAAACTGAGGGGTGCAGATGAAAAAGTTACCATGGATAGTGACTACGCTGATGATCTGGCAGTGGTGAACAATACTGAAGAAGGGTTGCAAGAGTCCACTGATCTTATCGCTTATTACGCACAGCAGCAGCATGTGCAGACACCACGGTTACACCTCTTACGCTGGGTTAAAGATCAACGATAAAAATCCACAATGCATGGCGATCAGCAAGTGTGCGTCCCAGTGACCTTACACCGAAAGAGTAAAGCTAACAGTGGAGGGAGAACCTGTTGAACAGGTCAGTAACTTTGTCTATCTTGGTGCCAACATCAGTGGGGATGGTACCATTGACCGAGATCTTGACATCAGGATCCAGCGTGCTAATGGTGCGTTCCGTAAGCTTTGGAAGATATGGAACAGTAGAACTATAAGAACACCCACCAAGATCCGTATCTACAAGGCTGCTGTTAGAAGAAGCAGTTGAAACGGTTCGAGGTCTTCCATCTGACCTCCCTGAGAAGAATCCTGGAGATAAAGTGGTTCTTCCATGTCTCCAATGAAGAAGTTCTCAGGCGTGCTGGAATTAAGTCTATTGAAACTTTCATCGGTTCGGCTAGACTAAAGTGGTACGGACACATGGTCAGAATGCCAGTGACACGGTTTCCCAAGTTTTCACTGGATTGGAAACCAAACTAAGGAAAGAGACTGAGAGGACGACCCCACAAAGGCTGGGTGGCCTGCGTACTCGAGGATGCAGCAGACTTTACAGGTGTCGATAACATCAGCAGAGACGCAGTAAAACAGTTAGCTATAAAAACGAGTGGAATGGAGGAACTGGAACATATGCCACACCGTAGAACTAGACAAGATGTGTCTGTGATGCAGGCCACCTGAACGACTAGGGGGAGACTTCTCCATGTAGCATGTAGCAGGTGTACGTTAATTCATAGGTCACGTGACATTTTTACCAATGCGCGTCGTAATAGTTAATCACGTGATACGCTTCATCAAAACACGTGACAGTGCGCGGATGAAATTATCATGGAACAAATCTTGTCGAGCCTAATTAGCGGGCGGAATTCTATAATAAAACTGTATCGGGTGATTAAGCGGGAAAAACTAACAGCGGGAGCCGGGATTATCAGAATCTATTCCGCCCGTCCGGCTGATTACCTTAAGAACGACAAATTTAGTCTACGATGCTCTTAGTCAAACTTTTGACTGAAATTGTTGTTAACCAAATTACATGAGACTTAAATTTTTCGGCGACTTATTTTAAATCAGACCAAAATTTCAGTAGAGCAAATTGAAATATGACATGACTATATTATTAAGTTTGGGCGAATTTCTATGTGCCAAATTTGAGATATCACTTCAAACACAAGAAAATAGTGCTGTCGGACAGATGTCGTGTTACAACAAAACTACAGGGGGGGGAGGGCAAACGTTGGGTCTTATGACTTTTACCACCACCGTGTTTTATATTTGAGAGTTGTTGCTTTGCAGATGGCATACTGTACCTACTTGTTCGAGGATTCCGTCACCGCAAAATTTGAAAATTCGATTTTTTGGGGCCACACCAAATTAACATTGAATTGCTTATACTCGTGTTTGTGAACATGTTAGAGACTCCGTTGTAACATATTGCAATAGGTCATTTTTTATAATCCGGAATATAATCTGAAAAGATGGTGCGAAACGGATTTAAAATGACGAAGTAATTTGTTTATCTCGTTAGCAAAATTGATTGGGGACTCAATTATAACCCAATTACGACACTGTAATTGGGCTCTCTGCACGATTCCCATAATGCGGATCTAGCCTCAACCCACAAATGTCATGGTCGACGTCGTCCATTTTCAGTTCTTTTCCCATCGCAGTGAATCACTTATAAACACAGCCCTCTACATCTTCCTGTTCTTCATAATTGAAATCCTTGATTTTCTCCTGAGCTTGAGATCGGGTCAAATTTAAATCATCCTCCATAGCGTACTTGTATAGTACTTGTATAGATAAGATGTAAGAGAGCTCGATAATTGCAACGTAAGTTACACTGACTACACGAATCTTACTAATTTTTTCTCTAATCTTGCCGAAGGCAAAAAGATCGTAGGGAATAAGTAATCGGGTTTGGATATACGAGGTGGCCCGATGGACCTACGATGACGACAAAAGTCTGCTCCTTTGCAATATAGACCACTCCCCTATAATTATGTGTATAAAAGGAACCTATTTTGCGCGCGCGACGCCAGTTATGTGTTATAAATTAATTACAGGCATAGCAACCAGTTTTAGGTGCTTGACGACTGTTACACAAGTTTCCATTATCGGGTTACTATACAATTTACTCTAATTCATTTATATAATATAGCATATTAGTCATCTGAGCGGATCAATCATCAATATAATTATAAGTGTTATTTTGTTGATCCAGCTGACTGACGCCGAGTAGGGTATTTTGGCCGTTCAAACTTAAGACTTTTAAGAATTAAAGCAGCCGTATTGATCCTCCAAGTCCAAACCTACAACTTTCAAGGGCTAGAATTAGCTGTATTTTGGCCGTTTTAAAATACAACTTATACTGTTTTACTTCATGATTGGGCTGTAATTCAAAAGCCAATTTGACAAGAAGTGGGGCTCACGGTCTCACTTAACATCAGTTAAGAGCGACCATGTCTTGCGACCAGACAGCATTAATGCAAGGATATGATCCGAGTACGAAATATCCTTGTGTTTGGCATGTAGTAGCCCTAATTGGTTACTTCGTACCCAGGAAAAGTTACTGGCTGGTGGTGGTACTAGAGTTGGTTTAATTTAAACAGACGGCTCGACCTCGCGCGCGACATTAAGCATGATTTGCACGCGTGGCGCATTCCAATGTTCAAGCAGCTACCACGTGACACAATTCAGCCAATCAGAGTACAGGAATCCGCAGAGTTAAACTTGCAAACTTTTGATCGGCCCAAAATGGGACTTTTCTGGAGATTTTGAGATAACTCAACAACTACGTTGTCTTAAATTTTCCTCATTCAAGAAGCAACTAAGATCAAAATTGCGGTATGCTTTTAAAGAATTCAATACAGTATAGTCGCTGGTGCTGTAGATGTGTCGAGTAAGCACCAAAATGTATTAGTTTATGTTAGATACAAATAATAACTAAGATGAGACAGAATATTTTATTACAGTCAATAAAGTTGGCATACGATGCAGTAATATGACGTGACATGATCATACGCATCGTTAACACGAAACAAAACCGCGCAACATATGAAATGATCTACAACCAAACCAAAATCCAAATACAGATCGACGGCGACACCTCAGATGTGCGCAGAATTTTCAAGTTCTGCACGCCTAATTAATATAATGAAAACGATTATAACGTGCGCCAAAGTCCAAACACCAATCTGGGATACAATAAAGTGGAACAATTACATTGTAGGACTAGGCAGTAGGGAAATTTGATCGTGCGTGGTGTTACCGCGGCGAAATTCTTGTTATCACACGAAATAAAAAAATTCGATATAACATCGCTGGACCCTTTCTAGTCCAACTGCACAATGAGGATCGCAAACATCGTTGCTCCCACGACCTCCAGCTGGTGTAAAATTACAGCCTAATGAAACTAAACACTATCTGCACTTACCAAACTGCAGCTGGAGTGAGAAAATGTTGGCAAACAAATAATATAAGTAGTGTGCTGGAGTTTTGTCAGCGCCTGCAATTAAACGGATGG